CACCCAGCACAACACAAGGATCACAGCAGGTTCTAGGAGCTGGGGAATGTGGTTTGGCTCACATTCCCCAGGAGGTATTCAAGACCAAGCTGGATGGGCCCTGGGCAACCTATCTAGTGCCTGATTTAGTAGTTGGTAACTCTGCCCACAGCTGGGAAGTTGGAACTAATGATCTTTGAGATCCCTTCCAACCCAAGCCATTCTATCATCTCCACCCTCACCTCTCCACCCCAGACAGAGGAAAGTCTTTGACCACGGTCATGTTGTGCAAGCTGTTGTGTGATATCCTCTGATGGGGTTTTCCTAGAAAGCAGCATCCTGGCTGAAGAATGTCTAGTTTCCTGGAGGGAGGGAGGTTTGTATGTGATGCAGAGGGATGCACTTTGATTTAGGAGGTTGGACTGGATGGCCTTGTGAACAGCACCACTATGCCACTGCTGATGCCATGGACAGATGGCAGCTGGATGGGATTTATTTTTGACTAAAGTACCTAAATTCTGCAGCAAATAGCAGTGGCATTTTCACCACCTCGAACCCGGAAATTAGAGAGCTGGTCTCGCAGAAGACAACTGCAAGCTCCAGCAAGGAGTTTCTCACCAAGTTGTTTGTGCTTATGACCAAACATATGAGAGAGGACCGCGAGGAAAGCCCTCGGCCTGTCCCGGCTGCTCGTTCCCAGCCCTTCTCTCCCTCTGCCCACGCCTTATCCCGCGGCCGGGAGCTCCTCGCACGAAGGATTTCCTTCCGACTTCCTCCAAAGCACGCAGCGCACGGTGCCTGACCTCTGCCGTAATCAATCCCCGTCGGGCGGCGGGCCCCGCTCCCGCAGGAAGCGCTCAGCCCCACGCGCGGACACGCAGTTCGGCGGCCGCTCGCCTCCGTTCCCCTACATCCAGCTCCCCGCGCAGCGCCGCCCGAAATAGCTCCCGGCGGATCATTTTAAAGCTCTCTCGTCGTCGCTTTGGGGTGGATCGCGTGTTTTTTTAGCCTCCCCGGATGACGCTATTTGCACGCCGTGGGAGACGGCTCGAGGAGGCGGCCGAGCCGCGCGGTGGACGCGCACGCGGGTGGGAGCGGGGCGCTGCCGGGACCCCCCGATTCGGCGTCGGTGGGGCGCAGCCCATTCCCGGCAGCCAGAACGGAGACGACAGCGACGGAGCGCGGAAAGTGCCGCCGGCCCGAGTCGGAGCGCCATCAAAGGGGATCCCCCCGCCCGGCCTCCTCGCTCCTCCCGGCGCTTACTCAGCCGCCGGGGGGAGGCCCCGAGCCGCCGCCATGAGGTCACCGCCGCCGCCCCGCCGCGCTCCGCTGCGTCACGCAGGGGTATCCCCGCCGCCGCCCAGCGGGGCATCCCCGCGGCGGAAACACGCCGCTTCCACGCGCGTCCCGGACGAAGGGGGGTGGAGGAGAGGGAACGGTTCGTCCCGCAGTCCCTCCGCTCCTCGTAGCCGGGCGGGGAAACCCCCTCCCGCGCACCCACCCACGCACTGCCGGGTGTCGCCGACCCGGAGGGCGGCCCCGCGGCCCCCCCCCCCCGTGAGCGCGGAGCAAGCCGGGCGCGGGCGGGAGCGCGGCCCCGTGACAATGGCCCCGGCGGGCGCGCTATTTTTACCCTCCCGCGCCTATATTTGGTTTGGCCGGACCGCAACCGGGGGGCCAAAAATAGCGCCGCGCTCCCGCCCGCCCCGCGCTACCGCGGCCGCCGCTCAATGGGCTCCGGCCCCGCCCCCTCCCGCGCGCGGGGCCAGCGGCTAAATTTAGCAACGCCGCTTGCGTCAATGACGCGGCCGCCGTGCGTCAGCGCGCCGCGCCCCGCCCCTTGGAGCGGGGCCCGCCGCGTCCTGTGCGTGGATTGGCCGCGGCGGCGCGAGGACGGCGTTCCGCCGTGACGTACGGCCGCTGATTGGCCCCGCCGGGGGCCGGCGACGGCCGCAGGGGAAGCGCCGCTGCGCGGGGAGCCCGGCGGCATCCCCGGGGGGGGGGGGTGAGAGGGGGGAGGCCCCGCGGGCTCGGGGCCGCGGAACGGTACAGAGGGCACGGGGCGGGCAGAGGCGAAAGGCCCTCCTCCGCGGAGCGCCCCGCAGTTCCCGGGCCGGGCCGTGTAAAGGCCGCCTGTAACCGTGGTGCGCCGTGGTGCACCGTGGTACACAGACAGACGGGCACGCGCGGACGGACGGGCACGCAGGCGGACACAGAGAGAGGCACACTGACAGACACGGGAGGACACAGAGAGGCGGACACACACAGACAAACATACAGCCGGAGCGGCCCCTGCTGCAACTTACGGGCGGCTGGCTGCTGCGGGAGGGCGGCCCCGGGGTGAAGAAACGGAGGGAAATAATAAGGAGTGTATATTACAAAAGAAAAAAAAGGGGGGAAAAAAAAAAGTCGAAAAGAAAGGAAAAAGAAAGAAAGGAAAAATACGAAAAAGAGAAACAGGAGAAAAAAAAAAAAAACCTGGAGATAATAGAAAATTAAAAATAAGGGGGGGGGGAAGAAAAATAAAAGAGAAAAGTGAAAAAAAGAAAAAAGGGAAAAAACGAACGGAGGGAAAAGGAGGGGAAAGAAAAAAAAAAAAAAAAAAAAAAAAAAGGAAAAAAAAAGAACAAGCGGAGAAAAGATTCCCGGGTCACTGCCGGCAGCGCCGGCCGTGGGGCAGCGCAGCTTCCCGGCCCCTTCAGCGCCCAGCGCTCAGCCTTTGCGAACACCACCGCGGCGCGGCCGCCGCTGTCGTTGAATACTAAGCATCACAACAACAATAATAATAACAATAATAATCACATTCATCATCATCATAGAGATATTTAATCAGCCTCAGAGCGGCTCCCGATGCAGCCGGCTCCGAGCCCTTCCCACTGCGGTGCGGCCGCCTGCAGCGCGCCGCGGGGCTCGGTTCGGTTCGGCACGGTTCGAGACGGTTCGGCACTCAGCACTCAGAGCGGCTCGGCACCGCTCGGCACTCAGCGACGGGAGCGCGGCGCGCACCGTGCGGCGAAGGGGGGGGGGTCAGTAGCGTCAGGCTCCCATGGCGTCACTATTGACGTTTCGCATTCCAGCCGCTCTATGGAGAGGCCGCTAGGGCCGCTCTCACATAAATGACGTTCCGAGCGAGGCAGCGGAGAGCAGCGCGGAGCAGCCGCCGCCGTCCTCTCTCCCGGCACCGCCGCACGCGCACCGCGGGGCGCTCGCAGCCGCCGCGGGGACGAAGCGTGGCGCCCGCCCGGCAGCGGCTCGCGGGGCTCCGGAGGGCCCTTCCCATGCCCGCGGGGAGCGCGCGGTGCGGAGCCGCAGCCGCCCGGCAACCCCGCCGTGCCCCACGGCCGCTGGACAGCGCCTGAGAGGGAGCGGGCGCCTGGATGTAAAGACGGAACCCCCACAGCAGCCGAGTACGTACGGGGCGGGCGGGGAAAGTTGCGGCGCCGCGCTCGGAGCTCGGCGAGCGGAGGACAACTTTCGCCTCCCGGTGTGTGCGCCCGGGATGCCGCTTCTGTCCGACCGAGCCGTGCCCCGGGCGGGGGGCGGCCGCCGGAGCCGGGCTCTCTCCGCCGGGTGTTGTCATGGAAATGATGCCGCTGCCGGATAGGGGATGGATGGATGGATGGATGGATGGATGGATGGATGGATGGATGGATGGATGGATGGATGGATGGATGGATGGCAGCGGTGTTACTTCGCCTCCTGGCGCGGAGCTGCGCCCTACGGGGACCGCGTACGGAGCATCGCCGCGGCCGTGCGGTGCCCCCCGGGCCGGGGCCGCGGGAGCGGGGAGAGCCGCGAGGGCTCGCGGTCGCGTGCAGCGTTCGGGACGGCGGTGTCGGTGAGGCGCAGCCCCGCACCGGTGGGCTTCGAGGCGCTGCGTTGCGCTGCGAGGAAATTTCCCAGGGAAAGAGCGGAGAAACGCAGCGTTCTGCATAGGGGCTCTGTGCTGGATTTACTCATTCCTTTCTCGAGGAAAAAAAAAAAAAAAAAAGCAAGCAAGCAAGCAAGCAAAAACTTTGGGAGCGAGCCGCCAACTTTTTTCCAAGCCGCTCCGCTCGGTGACATTCTTCGCCCGCTTTCTTCCTGCTCCGTGGAGACCGCCGTGCGCCGGGGCCGGGCGCGCTCCGGCCGTGGGCTGCGGCACAGCGGAGCCTCCGCCGAGGGTGGCCCCGAACCCCCGGGGATACGGGGAGCTGGAAACGGAGCTCGGAACTTTTAATTGAACGGAGCTTCCCCTGCGCGGTCCCTCCCGGGTAAACGAAGGTTTCGAAACTCGGCTGAAGAAGTCGCAGTCACAATGGAGTGTTTCACGCTTTGCTCCTCGTGTTACAGGGCGGGGAGGGCCGTCACTCGGGGGCCCGATGTAAAGTGCACGGAGGAAGAAAAGGGCTTTGACACGGCCGCTCATTGCCTCCTGATTTACAGCCCCGTGCCGCTGCGCTCCCGGCTCCGGCGGCCGCAGCCCGGGGGGAGCCGCGTGCCGGGCAGCGCGGCCGCGTCTCCGGGTAACCGGGGAACGGAGGGGTCCTCTGGGACCGGGATCGGGGAGGGGGGGAGGTACGCTGCCGGCCGGGGAATCTTGCAGCTCCCCCCGACCCCTCCCGACGGAGAAATTCCGGGGATGCCCGGAAAGGAGGGAGGGAGGGAGGGAAGGATGGAGGGGCTGCCGCGGGCTCCTCCCGGCAGGTGAGCGCGGAGGGGCCCGGCCCTCCCTGCCGCCCCTCACCCGGGAGAGCCCCGTTGGCCGCTGACTGAGCCTTCTTCCCCCGCCGCAGCGCCCCCCGGGTCGGAAGCGCGCCCCCCGCCGCGGCCATCCCCCGCTGCCGCCTCCGCGGAGAGCTCCCAGCCGGCGCCGACCCCGCCGCCGCCCGCCGCCGCCCGCCCCGCCAGCCCCACCATTCAGCGCGCAAGGTACCCGCCAGGTGAGCCGGAGGGGAGAGGGGACGGAGGTGCGAGGCCGCCCCGAGCTACGGGGGGCGGGCGGGGAACGGGTGGGACCTGCGGAGCTTCGCGGGGTGGCGGGATGGGAAAGCGGCGGTCGTGGCGGCGAGAGCTCCAGCCCCGATCTCCCGCTCGGCTGCTCGGTGGCACGGCACGTACCGCGTGTTGCGGCGTGGGGGCTTTTAGTGATAGCGTCGGGGAAGGAGGGACAGCCGCGAGGTCGTTTGTGTTGGTGCCCCGAGAGGAAGGGTTGGGTTGGGGTCAGCGAGGCGGAGGCGCTGGCGGCAGCGGGGTAGGAGGAGCCGCGTGGCCGCAGCAGACCTTTGTGTAGGGTCTGTTTTGCTGTCCCCAGGTCAGACTTATTTTAGACTTGGGCTTTCTTAGTCTGCTCTGAGCAGAACGCAGGCCGTAACTCTGGCGTGCCCAGAAACACCCCACACCCACACCAGTGCCTTCCATCAGCCTCTGTGCCTGCCGGGAGCTGCTAAAAGCCCTTTTACCCCCACCGGGTTCACGCCGGGTTCGGCGCGGCCCCAGTGCGGTGCGGAGGTGCGGGCAAGGCATTGCTCGCCCTTTGTGTTTACTCTTCGAGCCGAACCGGTGATAGAAGCGGGACTTGGCACGGGTGCAGATATCCATAGGAAGAAAAGGAATGGTGGGAGATAGGCAGGGCTGGGAGGCGAGGCTTGGGAGAGCGCTGTCCTGCTGCCTGTTTTCTAAGCAGTAATTTTAGAAAACGGCACTGTTTTATGCTTTTGGTGTTTTGTTTTTGGTTTTTTTTTCTGTCACTTCTTAATGTTTACTCAAAAAGAAGAAAGATGGGAGCGCTGTGTGATGGTACAGTGAGATCTGGTGTTCAGTTTCCATTTACCTGCACAGCAGAGCTACGAGTTGGTTTGGCACCTTTTGGTTGGGTTCTCGCGTGGCACGCTCAAGTGGGTGTCTAAACATCATTAGCAAAGGGCGTTCTTAAAATCCTAATGCAAACCCCATTATTTTCAGTGCGGCTTTGTGTTTTAACAGGAGTTATTTATCAGCTGCTTACAAAACACAAATTGCCACAATTAAGAGGAAATGAACTTAATTTTGATGGACATTTTCCCACGTTCCTCTTCCCCTTCACTGGGGAAACGGCACAGATGGGTGCACTGTACCCCCCGGCTGCACACCCTGGGCATGCCGTGTGCTTTGGGTTTGGTTTGCAGACGTGGGGCAGCAGCCTGCGGTCAGGTGAACCTCATGTGGGCTGTGGCCACGATTTCCTGCCAGCAACAAAGGAGACAGTGCATCAGTGGGAAATGGAAAAGGATGAAGTCTTTGCAGCTGTGCACTGCCTTGCTGAAAGCATCCCAGCTCCCAGTGAGCCATGTTAACTTTTACGGCTGATGGATAAAACCGGTTCTGTTATCTTCTGAAAACAGAAATACCCCATCCTTTTTTCTCTTCCATTTTTGCAAATTCAGGGATACGTTTGAGCTCTGACACCCGCTGCCAATGGTGTTCCTTTCGTAACAAATATCGGTTTTAATATTATGCATTTGGTAATCTAGTTTACCCTTCATGAAGATTTTGTGGCACGTTCTGACGCATACGGGGATAGATTTAGCACCATAAACCGTTCCCGTTCTGCTTATCTAATTCTCATTGACACCTATGGATATGGAGCAGCGGATCTGGGGCAGCCCGAGATGGATCCTTCTCCCACTGACACCGCTATAGATTGGAGTTGCTCCCCAATACCCGACCCCCAATGCACGTTTCTTGCTGAAGGGCAGCGGCTCGGGGCTGATTTATACTTCTCACCTCCAGGTGAGAGCGGGAGGCTCCGACAGAGCTCTGGGAAATGCGGGCAGCTCGTTGTCGGGAAGGAGGTAGTGAATGGGGCTGTGGGCCGCGGGGCTGGCTGTAACGTCCTCCTTTGCCCCTGCAGATATGCCCTGTGTGCAAGCGCAGTATAGCCCTTCGCCGCCTGGTTCGAGTTATGCAGCTCAGACCTACGCGTATGGCTCGGAGTACAGCTCGGAGATCATGAACCCGGACTATGGCAAGCTGAGCATGGAGCTGAGCGGCACCGAGATCACCGCCACTGCCACCACCTCCCTCCCCAGCTTCAGCACCTTCATGGAGGGTTACTCCGGCAGCTACGAGCTCAAGCCTTCCTGCCTCTACCAAATGCAATCCGCCTCCTCCGGCCAGAGGCCCCTCATCAAGATGGAAGATGCCCGGCTCTCCACCTACCAGCCCTCGCTGCCACCCTCGGTGGACGAGAGCATGCCCAGCACCTCTATGTACTTCAAGCAGTCGCCACCCTCCACGCCCACCACGCCCGGCTTCCCCCCGCACCAGAGCCTGTGGGACGAGCCCCCGCTGCCTCCCACACAGACCTGCCTGCCCCCCGGCCACCTGATGGAGGCCGCCCCCATGAAGACTGCGCCTCCGCGCTTCCCCCTCTTCCACTTCAAGCACTCTCCTCCCCACACGCCGCCGGCGGGCCCCCACATGTGCTACGACCCGGCCTCCCTGAGCTTGCCGCTGGGCTCCGACAGATCGCCAGCCGGCCAGGCGCCCATGGAGAGCCACTCCTACGGGCTGCCCTTGGCCAAGCGGCCGGCCACCTTAGCCTTCTCACCGCTCGGCCTCAACGCGGCCGCCTCTGGCCTCATGGGCGAGGCCAGCGGTGGTGGTGGTGGCGGGCTGCCCTCTCCGCCCAGCAGGAGTTCCTCGTCTGGGGAGGGCACGTGCGCCGTCTGCGGGGACAACGCTGCCTGCCAGCACTACGGCGTGCGGACCTGCGAGGGCTGCAAGGGCTTCTTCAAGGTGAGACACCCTGCTCCCCTCCCTGCCTGCCGCCCCTGGGCTCCAAGCTCCGCACCCACCACTGGTAGTTGTAGAAGTGGCTCAGAAGGCCAGAGCAGCACCGGCACGAGGAGGAAACCTCAGGCAATGTTGTGTTTGGTCACTGCCTCAGTGCTGCTCTTGGTTCAGGTGTCCCAGCACTGTAGCTCTGAAGCACTGCTGACAGCAGTAATCCACTTTGAGGCAGACGAAATCATGTGCTGACATTTTTAAGACTGAAATTCCTTCTGCTTTTAGATTGTGGCACTTCATAATTTCAGCAAATTTAGTTCAGGTTTTGTTTTGTTTTGTTTTTAGAAATGGCACCAGCGAAGCACTCGGGGTAGACTTTTTGGGGAGTGGTTTTGAGCAGTAGACTTTAAAAAGCTGATGAATCCAAGGCCAGGTTGGATGGGGCTCTGGGCAGCCTGAGCTGGTGTGGAGATGCCCTGCCCATAGCAGGGGTGGGGCTGGGGGGCCTTTGAGGTCCCTTCCAACCCAAACCATTCTGTAATTCTATGAGTCTATGAAATTTGGGGCCGATTCAGTCTATTTCTTTCAGCACAGATAGGAGTTGTGCCCCTGTTCTGCCAAAGATATCCTAACTACGATGGGAACAAAAATAGTCCCAAAGTAGTTGGAGGGGAGGGCTCACCTCGTTATGCTGTTGTTATGGTGCATATAACTGCTACTATTACTTGTTAATAATCCTTTGGCAACAAGTTAAAATACACATCTCCCCTGCAACTCGTTTGTTATTTAAAAATAATTATAAAATGGAGCACAGAGAACCTGGAAATGGCAGCTCCTGAGGGCCTGACCCTGCCCCCGTGGAAATCTATAGCATGTCCCTCGTTGGGGGCAGGATCCACAGTTTGTCCTGCACTCTTCTTTTCTCAGTTCTCAAGTGTAATGAGCAGCATTTGCTGTGTCCCTTGTATTTAGTCCATTGCAGCTGCTCCTCGAGAAAGAACAATGTTAAAATAGCATTTCCCCGATAATTTAATTGCAGTGAAAGATTTAATACCAAGCTGAACTGATGAATTTGATCCTCTTCTGATGCCTTTCCTATTAATATCTTTCGGTGCTAAGCTGTCTTTGACTTTAAGTACGAAAACAACATATAAATATCCTAGCATATTATAATAATATATATATATATTTTTTGTGACGACTTCTATTACATTTTTTCAAGGCTCACCAGGTTTTTACAAATTGTTAATGCACGGTATAGTTTATATATAGTTATATGTAAGCCACTTTAAGCGTTAATTACATATATGGCTACAGTATAACTCTGTCCATTTCTTCCCAAAAGTCAGGTCGGCTTTCCCAGAATATTTAACTGAACATATTTGGAGGAGTTCTGCTATTTTTACTTTTCTCCCCGCTGATCTTAATGGCAACCAAACCAGTTGTTGTGGCATTCGCCTCACAATAGCGATAGCAGGAGAAATACATCGCAGATCGTTTTGGTTTTATTTTAATAAGGTCAGCAATAATCAAGGGAATGAACCAAGTAGAAAATTGTTCCCAAAGGGATATTAAAAGCGGAGATAATCTAATCCCCAAAGGTAGATGCGATGACCTGGTAATTTCAGATATGATTTTATCATTCAAAGTTGCCTGTCTCCGGAGACTTGCTTCAGAACAATCCTCGATGATTTTCATTGTCAGTAGCTAACACTAATAAAATTGTTTTTCCTGCAGGCTAGTGTGTTAGGAAATTAATTTTATCTAATTATATGAATTGCACTGTCGCTTTTCACGTTGTAATTAAAATACATGTTGTCAGGTTCCAAGTTGTTCACGAAACTCTCGGTTCGCTGTTTTTCTGTTGCCTTTTCTCAGAGGACGGTTCAGAAAAATGCAAAATATGTTTGTCTGGCAAACAAGAACTGTCCGGTGGACAAGAGACGCCGTAACAGATGTCAGTACTGCCGCTTTCAGAAGTGTCTCAGCGTCGGCATGGTGAAAGAAGGTGAGGGCTACTGCTATTCTTATCCCAAATGCTGGAGCGTTACGTTGAACGAGCACGTGTGTGTGCGTGTGTGTGGACATAGACGTCTTTACTACGGACCTGGCAATTAGCTTCCTAGCTGCCCCTCCAATTCGTGCATCTGTACAACAACACATCATTGATTATTTTTTTTCCTGTTGCCCAGTTGAGTGGGTTTAACATGTTTAGACTTTCTGGGAGCCCAGAGTTCAAGGATTGCAAGGTCACAAGGGGATAATTTGACTCTGGCCAAAATGTGTCCTTTATGAACTCTGAATGCCATTCATTAATGCAGTTGGCTTCTGCACGTTATCTTGTAGCATCAGTGTTTCGTTGTCTTGGGTGCCTTTTTGCATAGGATCTTGTCTCGTGGCCATGAGCTGATTGTAAATTTGCAATTAATTTAAATGGAAACTGGATCAACTCATTAGTCCCTGTTCTGCAAATATTTAAGTATGTGAGTAATACTGTGTGAGCAGTCCTATTGCAAATACTGACATGGGAAATACAGTCTATATAAGTGTGACCATATTTTTTGACTGCTTTGAGAAAGCTAAAGTTACTGTGAAAGAACAGCCCTGCCATATAGCAGGTGACGTTTGTGTTTCAGACTCTGTTTTCATTCAGCAGTAGGGCTGTATGTGTGCATATAGGGGTACATAGGTGTGCTGCAAACAAAGCATGAGCACTAGAAACACAGCTGGGCTCCAAGGAAGCAGTTATTCTGCTGCTTACGGTCATAGTTGTAAGCAGTTTTGGTACCGTTTGTGTTTCTTTGCCATCAAAGGCATCAACAGTGTGCTGAAATTGGAGAATGCTCTTATTTTTGCTGGGCTGGCCATCGCAGGGGAAGCAGGTGCTCATGCTGCTCTGTCGTTTTACCGTGTCCTTACCACCGACACGCTTCTTTTCTATGCAGTCGTCCGCACGGACAGCCTGAAAGGGAGAAGAGGTCGGCTGCCTTCCAAACCAAAGAGCCCCCTGCAGCAGGAACCTTCGCAGCCCTCCCCGCCTTCTCCTCCCATCAGCATGATGAACGCCCTCGTACGAGCTTTAACCGACTCCACGCCCAGGGAGCTCGACTATTCACGAGTATGTCTGGCTTTTCTTTGTTTGTTTTCTGCATGGAAATGACTCATGAGCTGCATTCCTCGCTGGTTGGCTGAAATGAAAAGAAATGTGAAATTGGGGTGAGAGTAGAAGTTGGCCAGCCGGCCGTGCCTTTTGGGTGGGTAATGGTGGGGAAGGAGGTGTGCCGGCACTCGGTTGGCAGCTGTTCACTGTGAGGGTCTTATATTCAAGGTTATCTACCGTGTATATTTGAGAGAGTGAAAGCAAATTATGTGGATAAGTAGACTGGTTGTCTTGCAAAAGGCTGTGATTACAATGCAACTGATTGATCTCCCAAAGTCAGGACTATCCGTGTGTCTGGTATCTTAATTTTCAAGTTATTCATGCTAAAATCTAACGGAACTTTGATAGCGTGCAGCTATGAGTGTTGTGTGAAATAACACGCAATGGATAGCTCCGTTTACGTTGAAATCGTAGGAAATTTGCCATTATTTCAAAGATTACAGAGCCCAGCTTTAGATGTCCCAGCAGGAATATTTCTTAAGTAAAATTCACATTCAGGAAACAAACCTCTAAATCAAAATTCTAAAAGATTGTATCAGCAAAGCTTCACCAGATATTATTTATTTTCTTACCCTAGTTCTTTAATGTGTAGTGGGCACCATTCAAATATTGATAAGGTATATTTTGAAAGCTTATAAAACTGCTCTGTAGTTATTAAAATATAGTGTAGAAGCAGCTTGTAAAATTCATTCTTAGGAAGGCTGAATATATGAAAAGAAAAAAAATATGGCTACAGAAAAACAAGATTCAAATTCCTTCCACTTAATGAAATATGATTAAATCTCAGACTGAAAAATACAGCTGTACTCAGACAATATTCACATTGTCCATTTATCACTTGTTGCTAAGTAATATTTAATGCTAAAATGTGTTCTGTTGTAATTATATAAAAATGTATTCTTCTAGCTTAGAATATGCTTATATATGTAATTACTTTTTAATATATTTTAACATATACTTTTAAAATATATTACATATATAATTTAGCAATTATAGGTATGCTGTAACTTCTTTTCTTCAAGCTAGTCAGTATGTATACAGTCCAGCAGTTTTACAAATTGTTTTTATGAACGAGTTGTTTAGTGCCTGACAGCCTTTGGGGAAGAATGCATTGCCCATGTTTACATGTATTTTAACTTACCCAGGGAGTCTCGGGGTCGTTCTGCAAACACCGAGGTCCACGTCCAGCTGTGCTTTCAGACAGGACTCTGCTGGGTTCCATAGCATTAAATGAGCATGACAGCTCAGTCCGCGAGAGCATTATCCAATCTCACGTATTTACCTATAGAAGCAACATTATTTTGCATTATAAATAATAATAATTAAATGAAAACTGACTTTTTTAATGTGACTTTCTTCTTTATCCTGTGACAGCTATGCTGTTCAAGTGGAAAGGTCTCACTGCTGAACAATCCTGGTGGTCGTTTACAGAACGCATAGGATTGACAGCAGATTAGTTTAGTTTCGGTAGCTAAAAGATTATGTATGGTTGTTAGGACACATAGCTAACGTAGAAACGTAGCTAATACCTACGTTTTTCTTAACATTAAAATATATACTAATCTGTTATCCTCGGCAGTACTGAAAATACAAAAAATAAGCTAAATGAAAGCAATAGATTCACATGCTTTCCGTGAACCTCATATTTCTTTAAAAAGTTAAGGGAAATCAGGAAAGACTGCTGAGTAGACACTGACATTAACTAACAGAAACATGCTGGAATCCCACTGTAACACTCAAAACTAATGTGAAGGACGCTGTACCTGTAAGGACGGGCTTGCGGCACGCTCTGCTCGGCCGTGACCCTGCCGTGCGCCACAAATGGGTGGATCTGAAAGCCTGGCTTGGAGTCAGTCCTAACACTTCCATAGTCACGACCTTAATGTTTAGCATGGTCTTCATGTTTGCAAGATGTTTGCAACGTCTTGACTGTTGCAAAAATACAGATAAGAGTTTCGGAGAGGAACGTGCGCTTCTTCCCTCCAAACAAATGCAACCATCTACACCAAAAAAAACCAAAATTAAATTGCATAATCCATATGTTTTAAAGCAAAACACAGTGGAACCAGTTCTGTTGAGAACATGGCTACTTCTCATTTCAGCACTGGTTTTAATTTACCAGCCCACAGCAATGGTATATTTAGGTACTTGGTTTCAAAAAGCAATTGCTAGGAACAGAATTTGGTTTATGAACTTTTTAAAGGCCAAGGGCCGTGGTCAGGTCTCACACCTGTTTCACTGGTACAATTCCATGGGTTTAGACTTCTCAGTAAGTGAGATGAGAAGCAAACCCTGTACCTTGCCGTCCTTCTTCAGGCAAAGCAGCCACCGACTTAAATGGAGATGTTTATTTTTTGGTGGGGCATTCAGCCAATGATCCCACCCCAATCCCTAACTAAAATATGTAGCAAATGTTGGTGCTTCTGACACAGGAAGGGTACGTGGATGCATGGAGAAACAAGCCTAGCTTCTAGCTATCATATGGTAAATATGCAACACCATCATTGTTAGACTTTTGTAGCTCCAGCAGTCCATGGAGGTCTGACAAAAGTAGGCAAGGGGTCGGGCTGGATCATGCTATCAAGCTATCAGCCTTTTAGATATACCTTATAAATCAATGTTGCTTGCTGTGCACGCATCTCTCCCTTGAGCCAGTCGGTGTCGTTTAATTCCTAGCAGGGCAGCAAGCACTGTGTAGGGCAGAGCTATCCCTTTTTGGGATATCCCTGTGGCAGGGGGGTTGGAAGTGGATAATCTTTAAGGTCCCTTCCAACCCAACCCATTCTATGATTCTCCTCAGTGAAATAATCATGAGGGAAAAGAAGAAAAAAGTTTTTTGTGCATAAAACTGAAGCATACATTTTTTTATGCCTTCTTATACACTCATGAAGACTGCTGGAAGTAAATAATATTTTATTTCAGCTATTCTCTGTAAGTGCTAACTCGGTGTAGCAAGCAGTGAGATATTATAGCAGTTCAAAACTACATAATTCCTTATAGTTTTTACCTTTCTTCTAAAAATGCTCTCAAGGGCTGAACTATAATAACGTATGCAGGTTAATTTTTATTTATTTATTTGTTTATTTATTTGGTGCATTCAATTTAATTAAGTGGCCCACATGGGGTATACAGTACTGCAGCATTCAGTTATGTGACATAATGCAGCATTCAGCTTTGTTGGACAATATTAACACTTTGTCTTACTTTTGCTGAAGGAATGCTTTATAATTATTGAGAAGTTAATACCTGACATCATTACACCAACTTGCAGTGTGTTATATTTTGGGTGAATTAAGGGTAGTATCTTTTTTCTTTTCCACCCTTTTCATTGATCAGAGGATCAAGAATGTGTCTTACCTTAACACTACCTGTAGGCAAGGCAGGAATTTCCATCGGCCCACATTTGCTGTTTTCTCATATAAAAGGAGTCACCTCAGCTCCTGCGCAGCAGGGCAGATCTTCTAGAGTTTGAGGAGCTGAAGACCACACAGTGGACAAGACCACCACCTCACATTCACTATCTTAGCTTCATTACTAGAGGCTGCAAGATCTCTACATACCATCTTTTTCCAGCCACAAACTGTTCCCCAGTGCACTGTGCTGCAGTTCAGTGCCAGGAGTAGTGTTTTGCACTGCTTGAGCTTCCTCATCAGGTTCTTTCATAGAAAGAAGAGATGAGCCTTTTGCAGTGTACAAATTTTCTACTGCTGTTTCCCATCTTCTGGATATTTCATCCTCCCTCTTGCAACTCTGTCCTCCTTCAGAGTGGCTGTGGCAGAATTTGTCTCCATGTGAGCACTGACAGCCCAGATGTGGCCAGAGATTTCTAGGAACTTCTCATGTCTTTGCTGTGGTTCAACAATCAATTTGACTGTGAAACTCTGTCCTACCAACAGCAAACAGCTCCAACTAGGGCAGGCAGGGGACAGGACGCCTACCCAAGAGGATCTGCTTGCTGTTCCCCCCTTTCTGCCCTGCACAGAGAGTTAATTGGGTGATACATGCAGCCAAAGGGGTATGCCTGTAGTAAGATCCTTCCAGGCTTCCATCATGCTCAGTGGAGAGGAGATGTGGGTCCTTCTTCTTCCCCTCTGACTTGGGCTGCTAGGAGTACCTTCAGGCTGATGGGCTCAGGTATAACTGTGTGTGGAAAGTAGCTTCCAACGGGTGTGCACTAATGAAGATCACTCCATCCTTTCCCTGGCTGAGTCTCAGAGGTAGGGCTCATAAGGAGTCCCTCCCAAAAATACCCCACACGATGCCTGATGGGCAGGTTGCTGTTACTTTCCAAGCACAGAATCAGACTAAGCCACCAAAGCTCCTATTACTTTTTCTCTTGAAAAGAACAGTGCCCCGGGAGCGACAGGGATCCAGTGCTGAGGAAGTGAGAGAGAGCAGGGAGGGAGCTGCCGGAGGGTCGCAGGGAAGTGCTGCAAGCTGGGGCTGTCAGGCGGTTGTTTGGAAAAGTTATGGCCGAATCAGTGGGATAATAGGTTCTCCTGAGCCTGAAATGCTTCTCTGTGTAGGATAAGAGGTGATACGGGGCAGCTGGTTTACTTTCAACCAGTTCTGTATTCAAATGAAGCCATGCTGCACGTGTCAGATAAAAGATGATTTATCTTGCGTGTCTCTATCACTGTCTGATAAAATGCAATTTGAGAAGCTGGGGAAGAAATCTGCATTTTGGACGTACTGAGACAAATTCATCAATGGGAAAAATGTTTAATTGCAGTAAGCTAAATGGCGTTCCTCCTTTATTGTGGTTGAAATTATCCTCCCCACCAGATTGCTGTTCCTGTTTGCTAATAGCATGGAGCTACTTGCAAAATGTGATAAATATTGCATATTACTTACAAATTTAAAACAATTTCTCTAATTGTGGAAATGTCTTTGCAATATACATCTGAATAGCAAAATGCCTCCAGGTAGCTGAGCAGGTAGATAGATGGAGATCTGCTCAGTGTGCCTTGGATGCTTGTGTCAGCGTTGCTGCTGAAGGAAGCACTGTTAGGCAGGTAACACCATATGCTCCTCAGGATGCCCTGAAATGCATGTCGTGTTGTAATGCTGCTTTCTGTGGTTTTTCTTTCAGTACTGTTCCACCGACCAGGCTGCTGCAGGCACAGATGCAGAACATGTACAACAGTTCTATAATCTTCTGACTGCCTCCATTGACATATCCAGAGGCTGGGCAGAAAAAATTCCAGGATTTACTGACCTCCCAAAAGAAGATCAGACATTACTCATAGAATCAGCTTTTTTGGAGCTGTTTGTACTAAGACTCTCCATCAGGTAACTACTTCTTTCATTTCCTCTTCAGCTGATGTGAAAAATCACCCATGTGCACATTCTTAGGATCAAATATAGCGATACACTGGAATGCTGTCAATTGCAAAAAACAAACAAACAAAATGATGACAGAAAACATCAACAATGTCTACATCCACAAGAGATGATGTATAATTTGTTTTATGCTGCACAAAAGATAAGGCAGTGATTTTAAAAGGGAGCATATTTCTCACTAATGTGCTTCTTTTTATTGATACACCACATCCTCTTCTTCTGTAGAAATCAAAATTGATCCTTGGATACAGTTTGAACAACTTTGCTTCATACTCATCAGCATAAACTCTATAAAAGCATTTTTAGTATAGAAGCTTCTCCTTTTTTTTTTCCTTTTTTTTTTCACACGTGCGTAGCTCTGTAGTCTGTTGTTGAAAGGGATAAAGGAGCTTTAAAATCTTGCTCAAATTATTTTTTTCCTTAATACCAAGTCACTCAGCAGAACGAGGTGCTGTCTGTCAGCCTGGCACCAAAGATACTTTCAGGGACTGGAGAAATTCCACACCGGTGATTTGAATTATGCCTTGCTTCTGTAGGTCGAAAATGACCTTAGCATGTAGCTCTTAACAGGGATACTGGCAATGGGGGGTGGGAGGAGAGAGATCCTGGCAATAACATCACTCTTGCGATAGGTTCTCACATAAAGAGTCTGTTATGTTGTGCATTACTGCATGTGTTTTCCATTGTTTTTTTCTGTATTAATTTTTACAATATGAAAAACGCAGATCAAACCAAGTAAGTGCTGAGAGTTGCAGAACCCCATCTCTCCTCAGCTTTTATTAGTTTTGCATTTCAAAATGCACACACGTAGTATTACTGCGATTCAAACATACAGTATTTAATGTAAAATGTCTTCTCTGTTTATGCCTTTGGGCAGGACCAAAATCTTAACTAATTAGACAGTCTACGCCACATGCTACAGCTAACCTCAGGCTTATATCTCTACAAAGTAAGCAATCACAGAAGCTTGTTTGTTGTACTTTTGCCCCAAGGGAGAGGCATATTGTCAAACGTGAATGCCCACATATGTCTCAGGATAATGTGCTTTGGATTTTAAATGACAGACACTTCAATCCTGGTTATGCATTTTGCTGTAAAGTTGAAGATGCGTCTCTAATTTTTTCAATTATTTTTATTTGAGGTCTGATACTGCTGAGGATAAGTTTGTATTCTGCAATGGACTTGTGCTTCATAGACTTCAGTGCCTTCGTGGATTTGGGGAGTGGCTCGACTCTATTAAAGACTTTTCCTTAAACTTAAAGAGCCTTAACCTTGATATCCCAGCCTTAGCAAGTTTATCAGCTCTAACTATGATAACAGGTAAGTGCTCCTTTGTTATATACTGCTTCAGACTCGTGCTTTACTTAGTGTAGATTCAAGCAATTTCAGTTAATATTCTGGATAAAGTAATTGCAATTTTTAAGTGTCGTAATGACCTCCATGAAATTGTAGACTGTAACATTAGACCATCAGATACATCTATTAAACTGTAATCTGTCTATTTCTTCTTGTTTTCATTGTTTTCTTGGAATTGTCTCTAAAAATCAAATTGCTTCCAGGCAAACTGAGTAGCTCCTACAAAAATCTTTTGAAATCCTTGCTGGATTCCTAGAAAGCAACAAATCACCAGAGGAAAGTCTTCTGCATGGAAATACTAACATGAGGGTGGCTTGAGGGCTAGAAGCTAGATGGCTAGTATTGCACGGTGCCTGAAAGTGCTGCTTTTGGGTGGTATTCTATGTAGGCATTCTGTGTTCTGTGCATGGTATGGTAGGTATTCTATATTCTATGATTTGTTGAGAGAGAAAAATTGAAGAAAAGTTAGAGAAGAGATCCCTTCTGCAGCTTTACAAAAGCTTTTGGGTGTGCCAAGGTACGTGACCTTACCTCCCCTTCTGCCTGGTGGGGTGAATAGCCGGAAACTAAAGAACCTGCCAAATCTGGGTAGGAAGTACAAAACAGAGGAGCATGATGTTACGAAGTATCACTTTCTCATCCCTGACCAACAAAGCCACTTGAAGCACGCACTGCATACTGTGGGCTTTTGATAATTTAGGGGGTACAGCTGGAGAGGCAGGAGGGGTAAGGAGTGCTAGGGGTGAGAGTGTCTGATGAGCCACAGGAGCTCATCAGAGCAGCTGGAAGCCTGGCTCTCGTTGCAGAAAAGGTGCTAGCGGAAAGGTGCTGGAGGTGTGATGACAGCATGGGCCAGCACCTCAGCGTGCCTCAAACTGAGTCTGCCTGGGGATGCTAGGAGCTCTGATGGGGTGGATATTGATTTCCTCTTGCATTTTAGGCAACTACCAGTTTGCAGGTGGTAGCCTCAACTAAATCAGCTGCAGTCTTTCTTTGGATGAGTGGATGCATGGGAAACACTGACATAAAATGCTCAGTGGCAAATGCAAAACTCTGTACATTGGCCAATTCCCACTGACATTTGTAGGGCTAAATTTTTGGCTTCAGAATTTAGGTGGTACACTTCCCTCTTGTTAGAGAGAGGGGTTTGGTTATATTTGTTGTAGCCCAAACGCTTTGCTTATTGCTAGAAATATTCTAAGGTTTTAATTAACTTACATTAGATTTTTTTCTGCTGTTTGGAAAGGATATGTTAAGGTCCAGATTCTGCTTTCTTTGATAAAATTCTTAAGTCCAGAATAATTTGGGATTGCTTTGTTCCACATGAAAAAAAAAATCAAAATGAATGATATGTTAAACTCATAAAGAATGTTCCCAACTTATTTTTGACTTCCTTAATCAGAGATCATACAAAAGCATAAGTACTTACATATAAGTATTATAAATACATGTGTGTGTATGTACATATCATATATAAATAGTATATGTGTGCGTATTTACGTACCTGTAAATCAAAGACAGTTACTATCCCTCTCCACATATATGTACACACAGACACATATGCTCACATATGTACAGTGCTTGTCACTGATTTAGATAATATCTGATATATTTGATATGTCTTTTTAGGTAGACAAAGATTATGGAGCATGTTCTTGATTAGCTTTCTGGAGACTGAGAGGATATAAGTAGATAAAGAGGAGTTCCTGCAAACAATCAGTCTGACTATAGATAAGGCTGTTCTATAGGATGAGAAGTTTTTTCTCCTTACAAAGCCATGACCTGCTTTTTATTGAGTCGGACACTATTTGGTTGTCTTTAAAGAGTGGCTGGCTCAGATCACCATACAGTATTTAATAGAAATATTTTTTCATTGATAAAACTCCACAATCCTTCCCTTAATTGCTAACAGCCCTTTCAGGAGTTTGCTGTCTTATACTGTTCTCAAAGTTTCTAAACAAATAGAATGCCTTTAGAAGGAAAGCATTTCTGTCCCTAACAGCTTTAAGGTTTTCTGTATTTGAAACTTTTTTACTTGATTTCCTGTGCACCCTACTGTAGGATCCTGCTTTAGTGGGAGTTGGATCCCTATGATTCTGTGATACTGTGATTTTCTACTCTGAATGAGGTAGTGCTTAAAATTCATGTAGTTTTCTGTTTATTCTTTTATGTCACAATGCCAGAATATCTCTGCTGATTTGCTCTCAGAAGAGAGTAGCACTCCATGCAATCTAAATTAGATCGAAGCTCCTGTGTCTAGTGATTTATATTCACAGGTTTAAGATCTCTAAGGGCATTTAGGGACTCAGTCAGAAATCTGGCCACCTGAAAATGGATGGTACTGTATAAAGATGAATATTAAGAAATGGAAAATGAAAGTGGAAATCAGGTAGCTATGGCTAATCACTAAATGCTGAGCTGGTGGTTCTTTTGAGAATTTCGCAGCAGTTATATATTTGTAATGTTCTTAATCAGGAAAGCCTTGAGATTTGCCCTTGAGAAATGGCATCCTTGTCTTCTCTTGACATTTTGACTTTGACAAGTCAGATGCTGCTTTTCAGATAGTCCTACCAAAAAGGAAGAGCAAGGAAGATAAATTTTGAAAATCAGGTATCTGTTGAACATTTTAAGTGACTTTTTTGAGTCTTGGCTTAGATTCAGGTGGATGTTTTAGTGCCATTGTTTATCCTACAGAGAAGACACTTCTTTCCTGTACTGAACTTCTGGAGGCAGAAGGTAGTAAACCGTGGTTCAAATCCCACCTGTGAGTTAGAGCAAGAGAGAATGAATGACCTTTTTACAGGAAGATAGGATATCCAACTACTGAGTGTCACTGTCTTTTGTGTTGAGGCCATTTGCAGTTTTGTGAATTTAGTTGTTTGCTTTTAATAGAAATGCTACACAACAAAACATTGGCTTGAACAACATTTTCTTCATTATCACAAAAGTTGTTCCAGTTCTTGTTTTACGTTCGTCAATTTTTCATGGCTTAAATGCTCAGCCAAAAAAAAAAGAGAAAATGATGTGTAACAGTTACATCTGGTTTAAATGCTGTACAGCACCTTAGGTAGCAGCAAATCTAAGAATTGTCGCTCCTAGTACAGCATATGCTCCTGAGAATGATGACCTGTACAGCTTGATTTCATGAGTGCTCTCCATAGACCAAACAAGGACATGCTCTTAGGAAACAAAACCTCTTGTAGTCACTGAAAGTATCAGTGAAGGAGGAAAGTAAGAGAAGCCACTGCTTGCTTTCATACTTTTGCTGTTCTGTGAGGGTGGCGGGAACAACAAACATCTCTCTTCCAGTGAAGGAAAAGGGAATAAATGTAACACATTGTGTTGGGGAGTAAAAAACATCCCGTTGTTCCCAATGTCCCAAGGTGCTGAGGGCTGATCTCTCATTTGGGGATATCAAATCAGCTCCTCAGTAAAATCATAGTAGTTCCAAAGCCCTATAACTATCTCAACTGCAGCTGCAGGTCACAGTATATGATGCATGGTTAGCGGCATATACGAACATTTATGCTGTTCAGTAATCTTGATTAGAGCAGCAGAGGACCTATTGAATATCACAGTATTCACTAATTCTCTGCTTAGTTTAAGTAAAGCTGGTGGTATGCATAGCATAAGATAAACAGGAAAAGATTTTGTAAATTTGCATCCATTCGCAGATCCATATATTTGTGCTTTTCCTGTTTATTTGATGTTTCCTGGGAATTTCCAGTGAGTCCCATAGAAATAAAAGAACCATGTCAGAGTCCTGCTGAATTTTCAGGTAGGAGATTAGTTCGAAAGAGCCCTGGAATGCAACCAGTGACATTTGGTTTATTGTGAGTGGCTTGTAAACAGTTAAAATTCCCTAATGTCACAGCATATTTTTTTTTCTTTAAGGTACTCCTTTAGGACCTTCCTCTCTCTGTCTCTCTTCTCCTTTTTTACTTCCTTCAGTTGGTTAAGAAGGGTTGGACACAACTTCCTCCAGAGCACATCAGCAGTGCTCTGAGCATCAGCCAGAAAAAAAAGTAATTAGAAGACACTCACCCCACATCCCCCTGAAAGCAAAAAATGCGTTCCGTCCTGTTCTTTTGGGTCACTTGTTCTGTTGGGATGTAGGATAGAATGAGCTACAGAAGAGTCCCAACGTGGAAGGAAAGGCTCTGTCCTTAGTTTCATGATGATGACATCTGTTAGTTTAGTAGGTTGTACAGATCACAAGTGTTTCCGTACAACCACTTCGTGCTGGACTTTCTCTAAGTCTTACACTGTGTTGATGGTGAAGATCAGCTGAACAGACCAGATATGAGCTTGGACTATTGTTTAAAATACCCCCTTAGCTTCCTGAATGGTCACTAATAATGCTCTTCTGCCAATGTCAAAATAGAAGGATTGAGATTACAGTGAAGATCATCTGAAGGGCTCACTCTTAGTCTCATATTTGTGCTCTCTCTAAAACTGCTTGTGTTTTCTTTCTCTCTCTTGTTGTTTCTCTTTTCCTTTCTGTCTCTTCCTTTCTCTATCCACATCCAAATATTATTGTTTTGCCCACTTGACACTCTCAGTGGGATGCTCTGAGCACAGAGCATTCTCACCCTAATTTAGCCAAGCTCTTTTGGCATATGTTTTAATTTAAGTATTTTACAGACCAGTTCAGAGCCACTGTATATACTAGGCTTATTCACGCTCTTCCTGCTTTGTTAGACTGGCACTACAACACTGAAGAATATTGTGAGGTTAATGGTGAGTTTATATTTGTCTTCCTGCTGCTGAGCTCTCCCTTGCAGTTTACAAACAGAGTTTTTACCAAGAAATAGTATTGACTCTGGGCTGGCCAAAAAGGGTCTGGCTGCTGCAGTTCCCTTCTGTATATGGATCTGTCTGACTTTCCACAGGGGGAGAGGCTCACCTCCTCTTCAGCAGCAGATACCCTCAGTCCCATTGCCAGGATTCTCCGGAGTGGCTGCTTCGTGTGCTGAGTCTATATAGGAGCAGGTGGCAGACTGGAGGAGTGTAGGAGAGCCGCTGATAAAAAAAAACCCTCCAGATTGCATTGTCTGCCTTCCCCTCTCCACTTTGACGAGGGAAATACTGTCAGCATCTGATGTGAAGCACTCACTCCTCCTTCTCCTTTCCCACTCCTTTGATGAGGCAAGAACTCTTTCCTCCTGGAAGCTCCTGGTGGCCTGTGTTAAGTTGTGGTTTTCCTAAAGAAGGGAGCATACTGTGGTGTCCTCTCTGATCATTCAGCTCACCTAACTTTAAGTTCTTTGCCCAGAAGAATACAGATCACCTCTTAAAGGTGGTTCACCCACCTCAATTCCAAACCGTCTTCCAATACATTTGTCTTTGCACTGATGGTAGAAGGAGCTTGGAAGTCTGTGTCCATAGCCTGGGACCTTTGTGAAGTGCCTGAAAGTTAGGCAGGGTGCATGTGGCCAGGCTGCAACGGGAAAGGATGCTCCTGGGTCCATCAAGTTGCTGCTTTGCCGTGCAGCCAAGCATGTGTAAGGCAATCAGAAAGCTGTAGGCAACAGAGCCTGGTGTTTCTTTGAGTTAGAGAAGGGGAAGAGGATTGTGAAGGGGGAAGAGAAAATCAGATAATTGTATTGAAACCGAGACAATCAAGAGGCCTATTTTAAGTCTGTACCATTAATCTGCTGCATTTCTGACAGGACTGTTTCTGACACTTCAGAATTAATTAAAGCTAAAACTGACCTGCCCTGACACAGAGCGCAGAGCCTAAGGGTCTCTCAGCTACTCAAGATCTTCAAAACACTTGTACTTTTTGAGGGTGTTTTTCATAAAGGTGGAACCAAATCTGCCTAGCCCTGATGTCATCTGCCCTAAGACACAGACCAGGGAAAGGACTGGCACAGCTGGTGACAGCTTTTCCTACTCTTTGACTCTCTTCTTAAGAAGTTTTTGCTGATCAGCATAATTATAGGACAGAATCACATCAAGATTCCCGGAAATTGTGTGTGGGAAAAGGAGAAAGGTGTAAGAAACTTCCCGTGTTCACTTTGCCAGAATGAGCTGCTAAGTTTGCAGAGCTTTAAAGGCAAGACTTCCAATGAATCATTTTGACAGGCTTATGGAGAGCATCCTTGCCATAAATCACCGTTTTTCTTGCAAAAATCAATGGTATCCTAAACCACGAGGCTGAGAAATCCTATATTCACTTTATCCATGCCTTTTTAATTGTCCCTATAAGAAAGTCTGAATACAATAATATTTACACACCTTCTCGATTGGTTAGAGAAAATCTATTGGTTTTGACTAGCTGTCTTTCTTGGGATAAATCTTGACCTTCTCAGTCATGTGTGGATAAGAACATTCTGTGGAATACCACAAATGATTAGGAGACCACTGATTGCAGAGACAGGGTACCTACTTACCACAGGTGCCTCATTTTGATACATGCAGGTTAATTAAGAAAGACTGCAGGTCTTTCTTTCCCCTGAAGTCACTGGCTGTGTGGAAAAGGCAAGAAAACTTGTTTCCTGTTATTTGAACCCTAACTACTAAACTTAAATCTTTGATGTGACTTAGACCCAAGGCTCCTCAGGTCTACCTGAGAGAGGTAATGACCAGCTTGCAATGGCAACGCTAGGGCAAAGTGCCCATTTTTAGCAGAGATGCTTCCAAGCAGATGGCTTTGACTTTATGGGCCCTGAAGGGATGCCTTAAGGATTGGAGTCTGCAAACCCCTTCTATCACTGAAGCAGTTCCAGTTGTCAGAAACGACATCTGTATAGACAGAGCAAACATCAAACACTCACGTGGGCAATTTGTGCAGGGGAAGACAATCTTGTTTGTTGGAGACTGCTTTCATGTTGTAGGACCAAAGAGCAGATCGAGGTTGTAGCATGCCTTACTCCTGCATTTCCTTGATTTTGTTATTTAAAGTAAGTCTGCTAATATTACAGTCTATGCACATACTGTATTTTGCATTGGCACGCTTCATGGCTAGACGTCAAAGACATGATTTGTTCGTGAAACCTTTTGAACTTGCCCGTGTAAGACAAAGACTGTCTAGTTCTTACTTGAAATGTTAACAACATTGCTGTATGCTCAAAAGCCAGAGATCATTTTCCATACTCTATGGCAACATACACATCTACTGAGGCACTGGTTTGAAAATGTGCTTTGCTATTCTGAAGTCAGAGTTGTAGTATTTCAGCTCTGCAGATCTATAAAGATATCTTCACTTACATAGCCAGGAAACAACATCAGAACCGATTAAAAGATGGAAACTTTTCAAAGACCACAGGATTGACTTCATGTCCTGCAGATTCTCAGTGGGCTAGAGGTATAAAAAAAACATCAAACCAACAACAACCTACAGCTTTTTAAATTTGTATAAAATATTTATCCCCCAAGATTTTTAATGGCAGAATCTGGCTAAGTATTTACTCCTAGTGACCTGTGTAGTTAAGGTTTACATAATTACACTACTCAACATTTACTGGAAAGGCTTTAAATATTCATTGACTCCTCATGTTTTAATGTAAACAAAGCACTTAGGATACCCAAGTTTTTTAATTCCTTCAAGGTGAAAAAGATGTCTGAAGCAGATGCTGCTGCTTGGATGAGCATTGCTCTGAAGCAGCAGAGCACGTTGATGGTACTTCATTGCTTCACCTTCTGGCCAGAGATGTATGCACGTGCCTCCTGGTTCTGATCCCAAACTAGTATTTTTCAGGAGATAGCTCTGCGTAACTCAGTAATGTTGAAACAGTGTAGAAGGGGTGAAAATCACTGGAAAATCAGACCTTTCCATTTCTGACTGCCTTCATTGAATTCCATCTGTTTTATTGGTTTGTCAAGAGCATTGGGCCAAAAACGTCAGCGAGGGGAGGCGTAAGTAGTTTATACACACATGTCAGGGCAAGGCACTGCTGTGCCTGCTTCTGGAAGTAAAGAAGACTGTGCTCTTTCCAGCGTTCATCGGGGGGTGGACAGAGAAAGTATCTACTGCCACCTCCTCCTGGAGTAAAGAGAAAGGAGCAGGACTTGGGGCAATTGGCACAACATAGCCTGTGGCTGCCGGGGTGGGGGAGAGAAATGGAGCAGGCAGACAGCTTCAGATGCATCAGAAGAAATGCCACGATCTCTCACTGCTCATCCTATACCATCACTGCTTTTTCCATCCGTTGACTAAAATTAATTTAATCTGTGTTATCTTAGACTACTCTATTCAGTCTAATGCTGTTTTGCATGTAAGTGGAGAGCGCTTTGTTGTGAAGCCGCTTTTTACTTATCTGTGAATTTCCAAGTCAAAGGAAAAATCAAAAGGCCACAAAATTATTTGAGATCCTTCTTCTGAAATGTTAAATTAATTCATCCACTAAAATTTGATAGCAAACAACATGAAATTATCTCTCTCGTACTAATAAAGAGCCAGCTTTGAATGAATGACAAATCTGATTCATTACACCTAAGCTTAAAGAACTGGGGATGTATTTAGCAGCATTGCAGCATTTTAAAAAGCTATTCAAATGGGGACAAGCCGTGGCTTCCCTTGCTTTTAGGAATGTTGAGATTTTTTCTGTGATGGATAACATAGCAGCCTTTTCACTTTAGGCACTGCTTACTCAAAGCAAAATAGTTAACTTCCAGGCTGTTTTTATTTTGAGCCTTTTAAAAAAGAATAAGTTAAAAAGCAGTAGCTGATCAAAATAACAAAGGATGGCGAGTTGCTTTTAGTTTCTTATAAGAGTGTTTGCAAATTCCTGGTGGAATTCTGGGCCTGGCGCTGATGAAGCTGGCTAAGGATATCGATCGCCACTTGAATTCACTGAATAAATAATGGTTGCCATAGTTATTGAGCATTCACAACTGGTGGGGAAGCACAGAAATCTCCAAAACACCTCCTGTGATAGTTTTGCTGGAAAATCACCCAGTTAATTCTGTCTCCTATCGCAGAAATTATGTGAGATACACAGGATACTCGGACGCATTATACTAGAATTTCAGTCATGATTGAACATCTCTGTTACCCATTTTAGTAGCTAAAAAGAAACAGGGGCTTATCATCTCTTATTTTGTGTGACAAAAAGGTTAACTGACATCATATAACCTGAACTGTTGAAAGAAATCATACACTTTTTGAAGCATCTTTTGCTTCGATTGCCAGAGCACATAGTTATGCTGAAGCAAATGAGTCCTCTCCACTTGAAGTAGGGATGCTGACATGTTTATGTTTCTTTTCTTGTGCCCTCACTTTGCAGAACGACATGGCTTAAAAGAACCAAAGAAAGTGGAAGAGCTATGCAACAAGATCACAAGCAGTTTGAAAGATCACTTAACTTTCAGTTGCCAAAACAAAGGACAGCCGCTCGAGTCCGCAGAGCCTAAGGTACTGGGTGTTCTTGCTGACTTGCGTTCTCTCTGCACACTGGGACTGCAGCGCATCTTTTACCTGAAACTGGAAGACTTGGTGCCAGCTCCTTCCATTATCGACAGGCTGTTTCTGGACACCTTGCCCTTCTGAGTCCAGCCACCCTCCTGAAAGGCAAATGCCCACCAGAGCAGGCAAACGGATCGTGACTTACCGCTAACATTTCTGCCCTCACTTAACAGAAAAGCAGCTCCAGCTCTAAAATGAGGTCTTTTCTGGCGCTTTGTCCTTACAACATGAGGCCTAAAACTTACTGGCTTACTGTTTTGGGGTTGTGTTCTTTGTTTTTCTTTTTTTTTTTTCTTTTTTTTTTTCTTTTTTTTTTTGAGTATTTTTTTGTGTGTGTGTGTGTGCGTGACTTGGGTTTTTTAAACGGCTAATATGGCACTTTTGGACAATGCTATCCCAGCAGCAGTAAAAGGTTAACACGACTGTTTCAAACCTGTTGTTTAACACCTCATGGGACATGAGGAATACAGTGGTAGAAGATGTGTGTTTGAAATCAAGAACAGCAAGTAGTTGTTTGCCAGGGTAGTATGTGTTTCGTGAGGATACCGTTAGCATACTTCCTGCATCAAGGGCACATACATCAGCACAATCGAAACAAAAATCTCACTTTTTTAACAAAGTACATTCAATTGAACATTTCATATAAATCCAATATAGCAAAATGACGATGGCTGTTAGCTCCCATGTTCAAGTGCAATTTTTTAAAGTGCTGTCTTACTAAGTCTTGTTTATTAACTAATTTATTTTAATATGAAAATAAAAGGAAGAAACCAAGTGAGAAACTGACGTGCACTAACTTACATGACAGAGTTTTCCAAACTTGACTCCGTGTAGCGTGACGTACTGACAAATGTCTGTGGGAGACACGGGAACGACCACGGCTCAGTTGTTCCCTAGACAAGGAAATGCAAGTAAGTAGTGGCTGGAGCGCACAGGGTCAGCATCAGGGATAGTTTGCCTTTAGACTTTAACAGAAGTACCTGGTTAGTAAACAGACGCACGATGGGTTTCAAGAACAAGCAAGTCTTGTAAAATAGTATGAATGTAAGTGCTAGGAAGGATATAGTGAGCTGCGTTTAAACATTCCGTGTTCGTACTCCTTTTTGTATGTTTATACTGTTGATGCCATATTAATATGAAATAATTTGTTGCATAGTGTCTTTATTTGTATAAACGTTTGTATGCATGGTATATTGTATTGGCTTTGCCTGTATTTATTGCAATGACTGCCAGCTCGTAGGAGCCCTGTTACACACGATAAGGAAATGGGGTGTTCACACTGACTCAGATACACCAGTTGGAAAACTATATACATATATATAATGTGTATATATATATATGTATATACCTATATTTGTGTGTGTGTGCGTGAGCGTGCGCGTGTCTTTTTATTAACCATTTGTATATAAAATATCTGTCAGATCACAAGCAGAGCTATTTTACAGTTCATTTGCAGTGACTTCTAAGGCAGTACTGTTTAGCACTTTGATATTAAAATCTTGCTCATGTTTTGCTAAATTCAAATAATATTTAAAGATTTTAGTTCTAAAAAAAAACTTTATATGCACTGTATTAAGTCAAAATTTTGTTGGTCATTTTGCTAAGGAAATTTTTGAATGTCAACCTGATGTCACTGTATCTTTTGTTAGCTTTAAACATTCTAGCTTTTGTCTTTTTTTAAACTATGCTGTTTATATGGAAATTAAATTATACAATCAAACAGATGCCAAATGAATTGCCTAATTGCTGCAAAGGATAACCCAGATATCGAGTCACTGTATGGTTTTCAAATAGTAATCTGGTATTTTATCACTTACTATGTTTGGATGTGCTTTTATGAAAAAATTATTCTTATATCAAGATTTATAGTAGTGTCAATAGGGAAACAGACTTCTAATCACTATAGTTAATATTTCCGGTTTACCTGCAGATAATATTTGGAAAAGTATTGCTTTTTGTATTGACTTTTAAGCTTATGTGCAAACATAATAGCATAATTAAATATCAGAGAAGCTAATGTTTCTTGTAGGTTGCTGTAACAAGCCTGACCAGCAAGACAAATATATTTTGACTGAACTTGCTTTTGTATATACTAGATATATATATATACATATATATATATACACACAATCACACACATGTGCGCATACAAAAACATACAGAAGCCGAATCAGAAAGTATGTTTACCTTTGTCTCCTTGTGTCAGACACAAGGTCCCTTGGGAAATCACTTCTGCCTAGGGACAGAGCCTGCCAGGCGCTGAGCATCAGTGAAGGGGTCCCGGGCGCTCCTTGTGAGCAGGCCCCTCCACTGAGTTTTCAGCACAGTACAGTGACATTGCTTTTTGTCGGGCGAGGTTTATTTATTCAGTGGGATGTGAATGGAGGGAGCAGGTCCAGAGCCCCACGTGAGATTTCATGTAGCTGGTGTGCTTTAGTCTTCCATGGATAGTCTTAACTGTGATACTCTCCCATTCCCGTCACCTACCGAACCGTCCTTCATTTCAACTCCAGTGCACAGACCCATCGTAGAGTGCAGCCAGTGACAGGTCACGATGGTGAAAGAAGAATTAATGCAGAATAAATCTCCTACCTTCCTCACAGCTCTCTCAGTGTGAACATGCCTTTTTCTAGGCAGAATTCAGGAATATATCAGGTGTTAAGGGAGAGTGCCTTGCTTTTGTTTCAGACAACAGTGTTTCAAGAGTTTCTTCACTCCGCTAACTGCAGTACTTTCTTCTTTTTCCTTTTTTTTTTCTCCTTTTTGTGGTGTTAACCTGTGGGTTGAAAGAAACGCTCTTGTACATATACAATGTAAATTAAAATTATTAAATTGAATAACGTTTTTTTCAGAGGCCCCATGTGTGTTGAATAAGTATGCTTAATTCTGTTAAAATCTGATGTGAATTTTTTATCATTTATAAAACATTAAAAAATTGTGTACTTGAGTCTTAAGAGTGGAAAGATTGGTGAAGGATGCTTAAGAACACTGGCAGTTTAATGGCTAGTCCTTAGGTTAAAAGAGCTTTCATATAAATACAGTGAGACCTGCAGTGCCTGGTTACCCAGCCTCGGTAAGCTCCTGTCCATGACTGTCATGGAGGCCTGCTGTAGAGACCTCCCTCTCCTCACTGCACTTCTCCATGTCAGCAAAAAGTTGTAATTAACTTGCCCCAATTAACAGCCCCAAGGGAGGGAGGCCACAGCATGTGTGTCTGGCTAGAAAGTGGACTGAGCTCTGATCCCATCTCCTGCCCTGGTAGAACCAGGCCCCAATGGGGATGCACAGCAATTTCTGTGGGCAGACAGCTCTCCTCCTTCGCCTGCCCTTGCTTTGCAGGAGGGATGACTTATCCCCCAGTAGAAAAAACTGTTTAACTATAAATCCATTTTCTAAGCAGTTCTGAGAGGCACCTGCCCCTCGGCCAGTCTCCTGCAGGACTTGCTCAGCTGGAGGTGTCACCAAGTGATGAGCTATGGTAGGCTGCAGGATTGGCACATTGTTCTTTGGAAATGCGGCAAAGCAAAGGGATGTGGAAACTCTTCCAAATGTTTTTCTTTTTTTCTTTTTTTTTAATGGCTTATTTTAAAAATTAGACCATTGTTCTTACAATATCTACTTGGTATGTCGAGGAGTTTTGCATAATAGTCCTGCTAGGTAAAACACGCGGATCTACTGACAAACCCTCCGTATTATCCTCAGTATACCCTCAGTAGCTTGCCTGTATTTCAATTTATAGTTACTGAAAATTGTGTCCCTAGATACCAGCCCCAATCTAGATCACCTGCACTCATATCCTTATGTGTGCCTCATGTGCTTGTATTCCTAAATCACCATGTCAGTGGCTGCGTCCCCACAAAGAGACACAATGCCTTGGGAGCCTGGGCTGAGTCAGGAGCCTCACCTAGCAGAGACCATCCTCAGACAGGAGGCCCCAACGCACCCCAAAATGAGTGACTGTAATTAGAGGCAAGCCAAATCTCTTTCTGCAGTTTTCCTACCGTTTCTTCTCACATTCAGGTTCATTTGTCCAATATTTAGAGCTCAAATTTCAGTTACGATACAGAGGAAGGAAAGAGATTTGATTGTACATAATTAAGCATGTCTGACAAAAATTGGCAACTCCCTCTATGGATACATGAAACATTGTTTGATTAATTATTTGTATTATAGCAACACCTAGAGGCCACAGCAGAGATCAGGACCCTGCTTGGTAGCTACCCCAATTTGCACCACCCAGGGAAGTTCCATCCAAACAGAAAAAGTAGAAAGAAGAAAACTCAAGAGAAAAGGAGTGTTATACAGACCGCCAAGCCCAAGGGCAGGCAGCATTTCACTCGGAGCTGCGAGTAAAAACCTCAGCTGGCTGAGCCAGTGGCCAGTGAATGCTCTGATTCTGATTGCTTTTTCTTTCCTGAAGCAATTTTATATAAACACAACAAAAGCACGACAAAATTCAAAACAGTCCATGTATTCCAAGTTGATCTTGTCTGCGCAGTGTGCGTGAGTGGTGCTCTGTCATCCATCAGACTTCAAAATCCTGCTCTATCCCAAGTTTGGAAGATGTGATGCAGGCTTGGTAGTATTTGGAAAAGAGCTACTTAGCTGTTCTTTATTAAATGAATGGAGCTGATCATCAGGAATATTACAAGATATGGATTAAACAATAATTACTAATGAATAAAAAAGATTAACTTTTGAAAATGCCAAACTACTGATGCAGTAATTGAATCAATGTAGACTCAATTAATCAAACTCTTAACAGTTGATGATATATTTGAGAACTGTACCCCTGACCTACATTTGTGAGAATTCCAAATACAGCAATTTGTCAAATGTGAGCTAAGGAAACCCATTTACTCTATGGAAACACTTTTAGCATTATTTCTTTTGTTTTCTTTTTTGAGACACCCTTTCATTATATTCACAACATGGGATGTTTTGGCTGCATTGGGTTACAGAAGAAATTTGAACATGGGACGTTGTGATGTGGCTGTGAAAACTGGATGAGATTCTTGACTTGAACTCAGAAAAGCAAGGGTTTCCTTAAGAAATGTGGGAATCCAGCTGTAATTTGATACTATATGTATCTCAACAAGCCCACATGTGTACAATGGATCTACTCTAATGTCAAGTATAAGATTCTGAAGTTATGAAGAGACAAGACTGTTGGAAATGTTTTTTTGTTTTTTTTTTGTTTTTTTTTTTTGCCTTGTTTAATATTTTTGATTGTTTATCAATTTTTCTTAAAAAAACACAGAACTCTGGGATTATTTATGTGGAATTTTATCTCAAAATAAAAATAAAAATAAAAATAAATAAGCTAAATGAAATTTCAAGCAAGATATGTGCGTAAGTAGTTGAAATACATTTTTAAAGAATGCATTTTTACAAAATCTCCCTCCACAACAACTTGCATTATGCATTACACTAGAATAAAGTGAATTGCAGAAATAGTTTGAAACTGGGGAAACTTTTGAACCTATCAGAAAGAAAACAGAAATTAATTTACCTTTCTTGGGGCTTCATTATTTATCTTGCTGTGTTTCCTAATTAATTGACGATATTGATGTTTACACAGGGATTTGCTTCTTTCCAACTTCGCTTGATCCTGTGAAGAAGCCAGAATGCTGCATTTGTAGTAGCACATTTATTCCCATGGCAACAGCCAGGGATTTCACAAACACTAATTGGGGCTGGCAACTTCAACTGTTCTCAGTACAGTCCCATATAATTTTCCCTCTTTTATCCATTTTTCATTATACCTTACCTTTTGATTGACTTCCTCAATACATTTACAGTGCTTCCTCATGTCCTCAAGACTGACTTAATGCCTTACCTGATTTACCAGTCTCTACTCTTTACATCTGCTCATTTGCACTCATGCAGATAAGAGACAACTGCAGTGCATTTGTGCTAAGCTCTAGCTCTTATAGTGCAAATGCATCCAGGTTTCACTACAACCAGTTAGCTTCTGTACCAGTGTGTGCAAAAGCAGCAAATAGATGTACCAATGCACAGCAGCACATTCACATATAAGCATGCTGCCAGATACCTCTAAAGGTAGGTGCCAAACCTTACTTCAGGTGGAGAACAAGCTTACTGTCCACTTACACTTAAGTTCTGTGATCATTCAAGATCATTCAGTTCAAGTGGATCATGAACATTCACAGACGTTCAATTTACTATGTGGAGAATACTAGTTGTATACTGTGGTCATCCACTTGAGTTAAGGTCTTGACTTGCTCACAAGCCTAGAACAAACCTTGCGTTAGCAACGAATCACAGAATCACAGAACAGCTTGGGTTGGAAGGGACCCCAAAGCCCACCCACCCCACCCCGTGCTGTAGGCAGGGCTGCCCCCCACCAGCTCAGCTGCCCAGGGCCCCATCCAACCTGGCCTTGAGCGCCTCAAGGGATGGGGCACCACAGCTTCTCTGGGCACCTGTGCCAGCACCTCACCGCCCTCTGAGTAATTAATTTCTTCCTGACATCTAACCTTAATTTCTCCTATTTTAGTTTAAAACTATTTCATCTAGTCCTATCACTATCTGTTCATGTAAAAAGTAAGTCCACTTCCTGCTTATAAGCTCCCTTCCAAGTACTGGAAGGCTGTAGTGAAGACTTCCTGGAGCCTTCCCCAAGCTGAACAGTCCCAGCTCCCTAAGCCCTTCTTCATAGGTGAATTTTCATCATCTTAGTGGCCCTCCTCTGGACTTGCTCCAGCAGCTGCTTATCCTTCATGTGCTGAGGGCTCCAGACCTGAATGCAGTATTCCAGCTGGGGACTTACAGTAGAACAGTACTACATGCAGAACAGAGGGAGACATCACCTCCCTCACCATGCTGGCCATTTTTTTTTATGCAGCCCAGGATACATTTGGCCTTCTGGGCTGCAGGAGCACACAGCTGGGTCATGTCCACCTGGATCATGTCCAGCAATCCCAAGTGCTTCTCCACAGGGCTGCTCTCAGTGTTGTTCCTCTCCCAGTCTGTATACATATCTGGGATTGTCTTGACCCAAGCGCAACACCTTGCACTTGGCCTTAATGAACCTCATTTGGTTCATGTGGGCTCACTTTTCAAACTTGTCCGGGTCCCTCCGGATGCCATACCTTCCTGCCAACTACACCACTTAGCTTGGTGTCACCTGCAAAGCTGCTGAAGTTATTCTCAATCCCACTATGTTATTGATAAAGATGTTGGAGAGCACCAGTCCCAAGACTAACTCCCAGGGGACATCACTTATCATCACTTTCCTCTTCTACATAGAGACACTGACAACAACCCTCTGGCTGTGACCATCCAACGGATGGTCCACAGGCTTTCTGGGTTACCTATACCCGGTCCTATGCTCAGTCAATGGAACATCACTGAGCAAAGTCAAGATGCCCATTCAGAGGCTGACTTGAGAATAAGTCCCAGACAGTTTTCAAACCATTCTCTCAGCAAAAATAAATTAAAGCCAAGTAGAGAAAGTATGCCACTATTGCCCTAATTTGAATAGAAAGACAATAAATAAGACCAGTTAGAGTGAATTTACACTCCAGGCCACTGAAAATGACTAAAAATTGAGGAGTAAAATGGTGGGACCATGTGGAGCCTTGTCATTAGGTTACAAGTGAAGTCAAATTTGTTTCTTACTTAGAAATAATTTAATATATTATTAGTAGAAAACTAGTATTAAAATACTAAATTCTCAGTGTGACCACCACCTTCTTGCCCTATATGATATGAAGTAAAAAGCTTCTTAACTATCAAAAATCTGTCTTGGCAGTAAACCGAATGTTTTTAGGAATCTTTAATTGAAAGCAGGGCAAAAATACAATATTTGATAAAGATAACTTATTGTAGTAAAGAGTATAATTTTTTAAAACGATTGAAAAGAAAAAGGGGGGGGGACATTTTACATTCAAGTGAAAAGGAAACTGCTGCAAGAAATCTCATATTCCAATAAGTGGCAGGATGAACTTACAGGAACACATAAAGAAGGCCTTTACTGAAAAAGGCTTTTGACTCTCAAGGCTACATTTTGCCTCTTTCTCTTTGAGGCACTGAACTGTGCCAGCTTGCACAATTTTTGAAAACACATGCTGCTGCCATTGACTGAAAGGCTCTGTTTTAAAAACATAACAAACATTTGGGAAAAATTTGAACCCAGAGCCCTTCAGCTTTTGCGATTGTTTTCATGGTTTCATTTTGTTCCCTATCCCCTCTAATTTCAAAAAGCATCATCAAACTCATAACAGGGTTTTCATAACTTTTGTGAACTGGGCCACAGTCAAGAATTTCCACCTTGAATAATATTATTGCATGAAGTTTCCCACCCATCATACAGTGCTCTGCAGTGCTCAGCACATACATCTGCTTTTCATCTCTTTTCTAAAAGTTCTGTGGATAGCTGTGCCTTTGAAATTAAGGAGCTGGGGAACAAATCAGGGTTGAAGGTTTTTCAGAGCTATGGATGTTGTGTTTTAAACTGATCTGCTGAGAGGAGCACAAGGGAAAGCATTTCCAGCAGCAAGGCAAGCTGGTGCAGTATAACCTTTTGGAAAGAGAGCCAGGATTCACTACACACAGAATCACATCCCCTGTAGATGGAAGTGAAAGCTTCCCAGACAGGTTTAAGCGAAAGGCTTTTTAAAGCAAGTTATTGAGAATGGCTGAGACCGAGATATTAAAAAAGCAGGTGTCAAGAACTAAGATGAAACCTTAAAATTCTTGCAAAACCTGAGATTTTGAAAAGAAAGCTCCTTCTACGCCATGCCTCCAAAGCAGCACTTATTCCCATGAGAACGTAACACAACAAGAATCACACTGCTGGCATCTAATGGACAAAAACAATTGTGGAAATCCAATAAAAATAGTGGGAAATGCTATTTGGTGAAAACATTGTCCAGCTTTCTGTAGTGCATGATTACAGCTCAAGCAAAACATGATGCCTGCAGCGTATTCTCTTCCTATGAAGAAAGGCTGAGGGAATTTGGCTTGGAGAAAAGAAGGCTCCAGAGAGACCTCACTGCAGCCTTCCAGTACTTGAAGGGAATTTTAAACAAGAAGGAGACTGACTTTTTACATGGACAGATAGTGATAGGACAAGGTGAAATGGTATTAAACTAAAATAGGGGAAATTAAGGTTAGATGTCAGGAAGAAATTAATTACTCAGAGGGCAGTGAGGCATTGGCAGAGGTGCCCAGAGAACTGTGGTGCCCCATCCTGGAGGCGCTCGAGGCCAGGTTGGATGGGGCCCTGGGCAGCTGAGCTGGTGGGGGGCAGCCCTGCCTACAGCATGGGGTGGGGTGGGTGGGCTTTGAGGGCCCTTCCAACCCAAACTATTCTGTGGATTTATGACTCCATGGCTTGATTCTATGATTCTGTGATTCCATGCCATTCAGACTGCAGCTTCACAAGCGTTACTAGCCAGCATAGGGCAAATCTTCTGCCAGGAGTCACACTGGGTATCTACTGCTTCTCACTGCAATGTGTCCCTGCCTCAGGCCAGTGGTGACTTTGGGGATGGGAGGTGAAACAAAGCAAGAACCTGGTTTGGTTTAAAACTCACATGTTCTTCCCGCCCTCTTTTTACTGGTCAGCAGCAGTTTCCATGCACATCAGCTTTCCCATTTGTTGTCAGGATAATTTTTAGAATTGCTATGTATGCCTAAATGTCAAATGGGAGGAAAAGATCAGCAGGTATCCCTATGACCATTACTGCTATGCAACATTTGCATGGAAGTAGCCTGAAGATTTCCCTGTGAAAACAAGGGGTCTGTTGCGCCAAGTCCTCTTTACACACATAACTAGAGACACTCCCAGTTCCAAAGGCATTTAGAACTGATAAAGCAACACAAAGGAAAACAGTGTCATAATTGCTGTATGAAGAGAATATCTATGCACAGAGGTATTCAGTGATTTTCTGTCACATGGGAACTTTGGAAGAGTCGTGAAGTGAGTCTGGATCCCACCATTCTAGCCTACTCCTTAAAAATAAATATCCTTCCTCTCTTATGTCATGAGTCAGCACACTTTTCCAAAATGGTGCACTCAGCCTAACTGTTGTCAAATTGCTTGGGGAGACTCTAACCTGACATATTTAGCACATCCTTCCCGCAGCTCTCACAGAAGCACAAGGATGTCAGCTCTGATCAGACTCAACCAGGGCTGCAAAACCTATCATGTTTGTAGATCTAAGATGGTCTAGAAAGTAATTCTTCCAAAAGCTACTGCAATTCTGTGCATGAAGACAGACACAAGAAGCTGCAGTGGGCAACATTTCCATCAGGCTGCCCTTTAATAACAGCCTAGAAATTAGTATTACATTAACCTAGACAATGTTTTTTGACTTAGAAATGTCTAAACCACAAGAACTCTTTGGAGGTGGGCTACTGCTTCGGATCTCAGATTGCAGCCCCATCTGCTGTGAAGAGCTGTCAATCTAATCTATCCAAGTCTGCAGCTTTCTGTCCAGTATGGCATAATGTATAAAGCAAAGGATGCCACAGTAACTGTATTGTGTTTGCAGTCTGAACAGGTGCTTAAAAAAAGAAAAGATCATAGAAGAGTTTTGTTATCTATACTTCTATACTTACTATTTGAAGAATGATTCATAT